ATATATATAAGAAGAGCGAGGTGAGCTTGAAGTGACAATTGAAGTTACATAGTACAATTTTAAATTGCAATCCCCAATTGTATTTCCCGCGGGCTGCAATAATTAATTAATGGCAGTCGAAATACTGCAGTGAAAACTGCAATAGGGCGTAATCCAGATACCGTATGAGTTAAAAGTTTGGGCTACTAATTTAAAGTATGCTTTTTTTTTTCCTGAATCACGAAGAAGCTCTGAAATTTATAGTTAGCAAAACTTCATTGACCGAAGTTTGGAGGCTGGGAGTTTTTTCGCTGCCCCCAGCATCTGCCCTAGTAAAGCTGCTACCCATGGCGGCAAAAACAGTTTTCAGAGTGATTCATTGACAGATTTTCAAGCATTCCGCTTTTACAGTACATGCTTGAAATGGCATTTGTGGTATCGTTTCAGGAGGGTATAAATTCATTTGTTGTTCGAGCAAAACTCCATACTATAGCAGACGTACTATTGGTAGTGCTTTGGTATGAAGTAAACGTACAGCCCAATCATGTCCATGTGTTGTGCTTACACACAGTTTCATGCAATAGAAATATCAAGTGAATCCATTTATATTTTGTCACATTCGCATGAAGTTTTATGAGGTATCGAACTGCGGAGGGAGAATCATACATGATCGAATTGACTTAGAAAAAAAATAAAATTCTGGGTTCTGTCTATCTGATGCCTTTGTATGCACCTGGCCCCAGTTGTAGTTGTCGTTGTCGTTTCCGATGCATTAACTGATCCCGCTTTCATACTCTTATATTACAGCGCAATATTGATTTACGTACTAGGTTGTAAACGACTATTAACCTAAAGTTACACTAACTCGATGGGTTAGCGTCCATGCATATTTGGATATGCCATCTCATGCCGCTTTCCTCCTCGACTAGCACGTACATTGTAGGTGCATACCGCGCTCAATCCGTCATGCTCCTCCTCGTAGCACTGGTTGGTAAAGGTGGATAAACCATGTTCCTTCGCCTGCTGCAGCCGAAGTAAATCAGGTTTCATCGAGAATGTAACCCCTTGAAAATGACTATATTTGCAATATTTTTACAATTATCTCTGAACATCACTCACACACTGCAAGTGCAATGAATACAAATTTCGGCCAATAGATGACTGCATAACAATATACTTGAATTCAGTGTATTAGACCGCATTTTTGTTGCCAAAGCGGGAGAGCTAGCATATCATTCAACAATTTGCACGATGGCGACGAAGCGTCCTCGCTTGGACGCAGAAGACGACCCAGGACCAAACTCGCAAGTGAAAAAAATCGAAGACATCTCATCGGAGCTCTCACACCTGACCACAGAAACAAAGCGACGCCGTCAAGATGTGGCTGCACGACGCGCAGCAAACGCTGACAAAGACGTAAGTGTTGTCAAGACCTCGCTCAAGTCGTTCTGCACCGAGCAATCCAAGACGTTGCCGTGGGAGGAGGTGCTAAAAGACATGAACAAGATGGTCTTAGAGGCGTATGTACTTGCGAACACGCACATCGTCCGACTTTGTCATCTCCGACTCCCCGTTGAACCGCTGACGCAAAACTTCTTTCATCAATGCCTGTCG